CCATAGCTTGTCATGATCCACAAAATCAAAAGCTTTTGCTTAGTCAACAAAGCACAGGCAAACATCTTTCTGATATTCTCTGCGTTCAGTCAAGGTACATCTGATGTCAGCAATGATGTTCCTCATACCACGTCCTTGCCTGAATCCTACTTGAACCTCTGGCAGTTCCCTGTTAGTGTACTGTTGCAACTGTTTTTGGATTATTTTAAGCAAAATCTTACTTTCATCCAATATTAATGGTACTGCCCATTGATTTCCATATTCTGTTGGGTCACCTCTCTTTGGAATGTACACATGAGTGGATCTCCTTCAAATAATTAGAATGTCAATTTTTGAACATTTTATCTTCTTTAAAAATAAACCCTGTACCATTTTGCTACCATGCATATAGTCTTTCCACTGCTCCCTCTAGCCCTAAGGAACAACTAACATAGTTTCTGTCTCTTTAGTTTTGCCTAATCTGGACATTTTATATAAATGGAATTATGTAATATTTAGCTTTTTGTGACTGACTTCTTTTATGAAGCATGATGTTTTCAAGGTTCATCTATGTTATAGCTTACATCAATACTTCATTCCTTTTTATGGATCAATGATATTCATAGTTTGAATAGACCACATTTTGTTTCTACATCAGTTGATGGGTAGCTGATTTTTATTCTAGCAAGCAGTCAGTTTAGCTGGACTTAAACGCTTTTCTGCTGTGAAGTGGACAGTTTTCTGGCAGGCCCCTGGCTTCTCTCCCATGCATATATAGCTCAGGACCCAGTCAAGGATGCTGGTAGGGTTTATATGCAGGTTTTGGGTGCCCCTGTCAGCTTACTACTTTTCAGATCTTCTTTCCTCACTTTCTAGCCCTTCTGGAAACCCTGAGAATGTTGTATGATTCCTCAAGTTAGTAAGACTGAGACTTTCTGCTTGTGTTCCAGCTACCTCAAGCCACATGGAATGGAAAGAGTCCTTGAGACTGACTCCAAATATATGTATTGAATAAAGAGAGAATATTGCTGGTGACTTGAAGTTAATAAATTGAAATCTTAGAGTGGTAGAAATTTTGGAGTTTCAGAGGTTTAGTGAGTGGAAGTATCCATTCTTTATTCTTTATGATGATAAAAAGCTGGACTTCAAGATTTTTTACAGTTTGTCACCCTTGGTAATTTGGGACCTACCTTGGTTAGAGAGGCTATAAAGTTCAGCCGTATCCCTTTTCTTGTGCAACATAAGCTTTATCTTCCCTAGAAAGGGAGAAGGAAGGAAATACTAGAGCCAGAGGTACCACCATTTTCTCACCCACCTTGGGGCTTAACAATAAAAAAATTTCTTCCATGATGCCTTAGTTCATCTTCTGCTTGCGAAAACATACTTAGTCCTTGAAGCTTCTGTGCGGCCTTTCGTTTGTTCCATGAAGGGAGAGAAATATTTATTCAACTTTGTAATCCTGTAAGCACTGAGCCTCGTGGATGCTTAATCAATGTAAGTGAATAATAAATACACAACTGAGCATAATTCCTCTGATGAGAAGAAAGTCTTGTGGTTCCAATGTCAGGCATGACTATTTTGAGTCTTGCTTGCTTCATTTATTCATTGGTTCGTGAGCCCCAACTTGAGAGAACAATAGATAATATTTAAGGTTTTTTTTTTTTTTTTTCCTTTAATCCTGAAAACTAAGTGTAAGTCCTGAATAAAAGTGATCAGGAATTAAACATAATATATATGTTGATTTTATTTGAAATCTGTTGTAATCATCCAGGACAAAAGAACCAAGAAATAAACCTTGTTCTTCCTTATTCATGCGTTAAACTCATTACAAATATCATAAATAGTGATGTTTTGGTGTGGTGCTGTACGATAAACACTGGACCACAAGGTAGGTTTGAACCAGAAGGTTGGTGGTTCATACTCACCAGCCGCTCTTGATGGAAACCCTATACAGGATCAGAACCAACTCAGTGTCACTTAACAGCAACAATAGCGGAAATACTTCATTATTTAGAACAGAATGATGCCTCACAGATTGTTGATGTAAGTGATGTTAGAGTCGAGTGTTTTGACATAAAAATAAAAAGTTTTGCTGATGCACTGTTTTGGTTGCTTTGTTTCATAAAAATTTAGACTATGTGACTTCTCTGGGGAGACTTGTAGCTTCTCGGTATGCGGACGGCCTGTTTCCACGGTTCTGCAGAGCAGAAGATGGCAGAGTCTACAATGTAAGTCTGAGTTCCTTGTGGGCTATTCTTTGTGACATGATGCCAGGCAGATGTGTGGGCATGTTTTAAAGCATTTTCAGAAATAGTTTTGGCATGCTATACTTAGGAAAACTTTTTAGTGAAACTTACTTTTTTTTTCTTTTTTCCCATCTGCCTTAACTCATCTTTCTTTCTTTCTTTTTTTGTTCCCCCTATTAATTCCTTAAAAGTACCACTGAACATTTTCTGACAGAGATAATTCTGTAGCTATGAAGAGAAAACATAAACTGGGAACATATTTATTTGGAGGATGATATTTTTAATAGCTCATGCCATCATCTTTCCTTTGGTAGAGAATTATCTCAGAGTTTCTTGATTGAAAGCTTGGAACACTTTCCTTGGGTTTTGTGGGGTTTAGAAGACCATTTAAAAAAAGCATTATTGGTGCTCAGTTTTTGACAGCAGAGGCCAGGACCGAAATGCTCTCAGTCGTTCTTGGAAGCACTGTGGTTCAGATGACTTATTGTGGTATGTGTATTTTATTTTTTCATTTTTTCAATAAGTTGACAGCTAAATCAGAACTGATCCATCGGTTTGTGGAAGACTTAACCCAAGCAGTGGAGTGCTACAAGCAGAGGATGGACTGGCTCACCAGTCAGAGCCGGCAGGTTTTTGGTGTCATCTTGGAACAGCGCATCACCATAGTGCTCGATTTTAGTGACATGCTTGAGAAGGAGCTGAATCTGTGCCAAGAGGCTCTGATAATAGTCCTCCAGGAGCAGGTGGCTTGCATAAGCAAGTTCAACATAATACGGTGAGTTTCCATAAGAAGGGAATATTGCAGTGATGTTTCACAAGTCATTTGTACTAAGAGTTCAAAAGTTAGTTCTACCGACAAGAGAAGAGGTTGTTGTTGTTGTTGTTACGTGCCATCGAATTGGTTCCAATTCATAGTGACTTTGTGCACAACAAAATGAAGCACTGCCCGGTCCTGTGCCATCCTCACAATTGTTATGTTTGAGCCCATTGCTGCTGCCACTGTGCCTGTCCATCTCGTTGAGGGCCTTATAGTTTCCTAGAATGTACAATTGCAGCAGAAATACCACAATGGATACATCTTAGAACATATATCCACTTTGCGTGTGGTATTTTAGTTTTCAACACAGAAGAGATTTAGAAACATAATTCTCTTGTCATTCAAAAGGTAAACTATAGGACTTCCGGTACCCCACTGTGGCAAGACGACACGGGTAAGAAGGGCTCCAGGGACAAAGGGGGAGACCTCATGAAGGAGACCGTCCAGTAGCGGACTCAGAACCTTCCAATCACCATAAAACTCAGAGCATCTACCTCCTGAACAATCACACCACAGAGGAATTTCTGGCATTTTGAACTTTTGCCTGCCACTGTGGGCAGCGACTGCCCCAACCCCTGTAGAGCTTGGAGGGTGGGGCTGGAGCTAGCTCATACGGAGAGCCGTACTTCCAGTAAAGTGGAATCTCAAGTGGACAAAGCCGCAGGAGACAGAAAAAAAGAAAAGAAAAAGGGAATAGGAGGAGGGTTCTCTGCCCTAGCGTGTAATCTCAATGCGTGTAGTATGCAGGAAAAGCACTTTAACCAGGGCATAGAGAGCAGCAGAAATATGGTGACTCTCTGACGTCATCAGACGTGGACTCCACCCGCCTGAGTGGCCTCCACCCCACCCGATCAAGAAGCACTTCCCCACCGCACTCCCCCCTTGAAGTGCTCTCCCACCACGCCTTGAACCTCGCGCCCCCACCGGCCCTGCCACCTCTGCACCACTCACGCAGACCTGGTTCCCGCCATACTCCATGCGCCGGCCCCGCCCCCCAATGCCGGTCCCACCCCCCGACTCTCCGTGTGCGCTAGCCCACCACGGCCTACACGTAGACAAGACCTAACCACACATAATACATAATACAGGCAACAAGAGATGCCTATCTCCTGATTGTATCAATCATAATCACAACAAAAATAAGAATAATCATGCCCAACAAGAAACAATTAACACTATCAAAACATGTCCAAAAGCAGAAAAGGGCAGCAGATACAAATGAACTAGAGACAAGCAAAGGTATTATAGAGGAGGAAGAGTGGGTTCTGGATTCGCCTGAGAGGAAATTCAGAAGAATGATATGGAAACAAATTCAAATACTCTGAAAAGGGGTCGAGGGAAACAAGGAAGAAGTAAGGAAAGTACTGCAGGAACAATCTAATAGGATTGACACAGCATTGGAAACAATTCAAAATCTGCAAAAAGATGTCCAGGCGATCAATAATAAGATATCAGAAATAGACAATAGCCTGAAAGGGGAAAGGAGCAGACTGGAA